CCCCCCCCCCGGGGATTAAGGCCACCTCACGATGTAGGATATGCTACCCCCACCTCCCGTTAACACCTCCCGTAGATGATAAGCCAAAATATAGACCACGTGACCAAAACTGTGGGGACAAGAATGAAATATACCAGGAAAGCATTGGGTATCAGAGGTATTTATTTCCTCGCGTGCGTTTATCGGAACGGTTCATTCATTTTTGTCAAGTATACCTGAATTACTATTTTTTTCTCTGCAGCTATATTTACGGCAAGGACATTCCAGCCACTCCCCTTTCACTGTTTCTGTTTAACGTTGGTAAGTGGCAAGACACGGTTTGGCAGGAAAGAAAAAGATTTTTGTCTCCTTACATCCCTTTCGAGGAGAAGTTTATTGGTGAAGTGTTTGGAATGGGCGAAGTTGAAGTACGTTACACAGGTAGCTTTCGGGCTGGACTGCAATCCTTGGGGATGTCCGGATCCGACAATGACATGATGTACATCTACAAATCCATAAGGGTAAACACCACTCAGAAAGCAAGTACTACAGACCATTTAACCATTAAAAGTTCTGATCAGCCAGGTCATGTATATCTGAGGGTTAACGTCCCCAAGTCAGTTTTTATACAGTCATATCACAGGATTGTTTTAAACGTGCAAGCGGACAACTTTGGTTTCCCATCTCCAGGAGAGGTTGACAAAATCTTAGATGAATCGGGGTTGCAAAATCTACAAGAGGGGTCGTGTGAATTTTTTCTGTCATCCGAAGTCTTTACCGAGCTTCATTCTCGTTTCAACTATTTTCGGTTCGGCGGTTGGGTGACCTTTCAACAGTCTGGTCCAGCTTCAACTGTACGCTGGAACATTTCCACATTGCCTAATTACGTGAACCTTGGGCCCCTGGATAATGTGTTCGCTCTTCACTGTCCCTCTTGGCCAGAAGAGGCATCTAGTTGGCTTAAAAGGGAAAGAAAGTTTGGCTTCCCTAGGGACGATGTTGTCAAAAAGATGTTAGACTACGGAGTCGACCTTGTCCCCAAGCCCAGAAAAATGGAGCACCCATCCTCATACCAGAGAAGAAAAACGTTTATGTGGAGGCTTTCGTTTTCCGTCCCTGAGCTGTTGCTTGTCAATTCCTGGAATGAAGCCCAAAGGATCTGCTACAGGTACGCTAAAACGCTGATGAAGACAAATCTTAAACACCTGGACATTCCAAGTTATTGTGGCTTAAACGTAATGTTTTGGCTGATCGAACAGACGAACCCAGCCCACTGGGTTGGTCATCATCTTGTCCTTTCGTTGCAGATGTTTTTTAAAAATTTGGAGCGATGTTGTCTGGACGGTTTTTGTTCTCATTATTTCATACCTGAGAACAACCTATTCATAGATATTTCTCAGGATAAACTGCTCAAGGGATCACAGACCTGTAGGGACATCAGTCAGAACTTGTACGTTCATCTCTGGCTAGATGAAGGAATTTGGTGCTATTTGAGTGGACTTCGCCAAATCACTTGGCATTCATTTAATTCCTCATCAACATTGTGCAAAATGTGTGATGAGAACATATTGGCGGAGTTTTTGGAGAGGTGGTCGCGGGCCTTATCAGACTTGCAACGGTCTTGCGAGAGAAGTTTTCGGATTTATTACTGCTTAAAAGTGTATAGAGAATTGGCTCGTGCCTGGTGTGCGTCAGAGCAATACCCTCAGCGAAGGGAATTCATCCTCAAGGCTGTGAGAACATTTCTGCACGACTCTCGCAAAAGACAACAAACGGCAGAGGAGCAGTTCATTGCTGACAGTGTTTGCTTTGCAAACCTGAGGTGCTTGAGGGCCTATTTCCATGAGGTTACATCCGTCTCAGAATGGCGCTTTTTCTACCGAAAGGAGTTAATCCAACTGCAGCAAGATCTATTTCATCGAAAGGACTTTCAGGGCTCTGTCAATGTAGCTCTTCATTTTTACTTGCATGGAAACTTTGAAGCTGCAGTAAGAGTTTTAAAAAGTGACCCTTTGACGGATGAAACTGACAATAGTGCGCAAAGTATTCCAGTATTTTCTCCTTTCGATAAAAGTTCTGCTGACCCATTCATCAGAGAATTTCCCTTCAAAGGACACGCATTTTACTGTCCAGAGATCGTCGTTCGTTGGTACCTGTTGTGGAAATGCTACCTTCTGATGGACACAAACGACACGGAACGAGCTGCCTTGGCTCAAAGGAAGCTCAGAGAGCTGGATCTCTGCAATTTATATCAAGAAAACCTCAGAATAATGAAACCATTATTTGAACCGTTTGGGAGATATTTGAAAGACCTTGCTATCCGACATATGGACAGGTCATGATTACGACTTAATGCACTACCTTGTCAAAACGTGGCCTGAGGAGACGTTGGAGAGAGTAAAAACGGTGACCTACGTTGTTCACGTGAACGCTCATGATGAACAACTGTAACAAACACGAGTTATGGTTTTAAGCCCCGTGCAAACGGACGCAACATTCAGTTCCTAACAATGCTGGGAGTTGTTGGTCGACAATGTTGCGTCCTTTTGCACTGGGCTTTAAAGTATACTGGACTTTGTAACTGTATAGTACTTCTCGCTGAGCAAAGCTGTAAATAAATGAAAATCAGCTTTCAAAACAATTATACTGATATTAATTCAAAGATGAAATGTCTTGTTGAAATGTTAACAATATGGCCAAGGAAGTCACAAAACAAATTTTGCGTCATAGAAAGTTCAGTAAGAAAGATCCAGATGTAAGCACAGCGCACTAAGTTCGAATAGAAATTTACGGTATACCTCTCGAAAACATTGCAAGATTAGTCGATGACTACTCGATCCGTAAACGCTAATTCTGGTTTTAGTGAACAATACTTTAAAATCCAACCGCGCTAAGCAGGTATCACCGGTTGCAGCGGCCTTCCAGCAGGTGACCCACGGGAATACACGGTGTGCAAATCACGGTCCGACCCTGCGCAGTAAGAACATTTATTTACTGATCTTTTGTTCAAAAGAATACAAAACATATCTATACACGTGTGGCGAGGAAACGCAAGGGTTTAGAAAGTATTATGTGTTCAATTTGCAAATGAAGAGACGGTGAGTGGTGAGTCATGATCTCTACTATGATTTTTCCCAACCCCTTCGCTTCTTGTGCCGCATGTAGCCTGTGAATTCCAGATGAACTATTTGTCCTGTTTGGAAAACAAAAATGTGGCAAAAAGGGTCGAGCACGAATCTGATCATTGTTAAAAAACCAAAAGACCTATCATGCTCTGAATTTTACTGTGAAAAATATTANCGGAAATTTATTTGATTTGCCGGGACCTCACGTTGCATAAATATTAATTTTATCGAAGCGAGAAATTCTCACTTCTGGACAACCAGAAATTTAACGTGGAAATATCCGCGACTCCCACGAAAAGTTCAAAACGAGGACGAAAAAAGGATGGTGGATGTAACGATCGTTGTAGATTCTGTTCGTGCTCTTTTGAGAATTCGGGCACAAGAGCGTCTTTCGAAAATTTGTTTTCGAAATCTGCGAGGAAAGAGAGTCCAGGTACAGTGTTGGCGGATTGCTGATCATCAATGGGATTCCCATTGATTAAAAGTCCAAGCGTATCAAAGCATGTTTGTAATTTAACATTCTGCAAAGAAAACTGACGAGCTGGGCCCAGCGTGATACAGCATTGCAGAAAAACATTACACTCACGGACTAAAGAAAATCGCTTAATTATTCAGATCCAGAAGGCACTTTGGAGAAAATTGGAACCCTTATTCAGCCGTAATAAAAAAGCGTTACGCTTCAAAACAGGTCAAAGAAAATGCGCTTGCATCAGAGGGCAAATCCTGCCGACCAGAAAACAATAACTACAGTCAATCGACATGTATGTCATGACCTCTCAGTGTGAAACATGCAGCTAAAATTTCCAGTGAATTTCAATAGTAAGCTTATAAAAATCAAATACTTTTTAGAAGCAACAAAAACAAGTTAGAGCTTTCTGCTTTTTCCTGTCCATGTCTCGACCGTGTGCGATTCGTCCACCACAATAGCCGAGATGTTTCGATGTAACTTCGATTTGGAGTCCATCAACATTGCTCGGAAGGGCTTCTCTTAGACTTTTTCGGCGGTTGCAAACACAATTTTGAGGTTACATCGGCGAATGTCATCGTTCGATAAATTGGCTAAATCTTTTGCTGGGTAGCCCAACAATTCCATCTCCTGCAACTGGTCTTCGATAATACTTTTCAGTGGCGAAATGACGAGAATCGCCGCATTACCATTTAGCTCGTAGTTCTTCGCGCGTACAAACATTTGGTAAATTAAACCCTTGCCGTATCCGGTCGGCAAAACCGCCAGGACATCTCTGTCGGCTAAAAGAGCCCTTACTGCTGATTCTTGCTCAGGTTTTAAAACAATTTCTCTACCACTGGATGAATTCACAGCTCTCGAAGCACTCTCTACGACATCCACGTCTACGGCTGCCATCTCGACTGTTTGTTGAAATGTGAAACGCGCATTTCAATATGTTACTCATTACCGCTCAGCCAATCAGGAATTTGCGGACGCCAGCGTCCGCAGATATGAACAAAAGGGGGTTCTTATAGCAGGCGTCCCCTCCCCCTCTCCCCAATCCTCCTCCCCTTTTTCCCTTCCTCCCTATCCCCTATCCCCTCCCCCTCTCCCCAATCCCCCTCCCCTTTTTCCCTTCCTCCCTATCCCCTATCCCCTACCCCTTTCGACGCCTGCTACGCAGGCTATAAAAACGGTGACCTACGTTGTGCACGTGAACGCTCATGATGAACAACTGTAACAAACACGAGTTATGGTTTTAAAGGGGAGTCTGGTTAAAAGCATTATTTTTCGTTGATTTCCACCCATTTTCTTAGATATCTAGTCAAGATTTCATTCAATCCAGAAATGACTCAATTGAGTTGCAGTCCTTAGTTCAATAATTATTTGTGAATTTTTGGATGATTTTTCGAATGTTTTACTGTGTACAATTTGGCAAGGGGGGAGATGTTTGAAATTTGGAGAAAAAGGGAAAATATTGGATTTGGGGGTTGTTGAAAATTAAAATATAAGGTGAATAATTAGTAGACAATTACCGGATAGTCCACCACCACAACAAGTTGCCTCTGATCCCATTAGCGGACTAACTGATTTATGTGTATACCATTTCTACCCTCATTTATTTCCTTCCCAAATCAACATCATTTCCCCCAAATTTTAACCAGATTTTCGCCTTAAGCTCCGTATAAAAGGATGCAACATTCAGTTGGCCGACAACTCCCAACATAGTTGGGAACTGCCGGGCGTGATCCATTCAACCAAAATGTCCGACCGATCCAACCGGGAAAAATGGTCCACCTCAAAAGGTGGACTAGTTTTTTTCGAAACTTTTCCGGTTGGACCAAACCGATCCATTGAGTTTTGGTCCAAAATTTCCGGAAATTTTGGTTGAATGGATCGCGCCCGTTGTGTCCGTTTGCGGGTCGCTAAATGTTTGACCCGTTTCAAACCGGCTTTGCGCAACAACTCCCAGCAACACGCAACAACATGCAAAAGGGTAAGCAAACGGACAAAACATGTAACATCCAATAACGTGGGGAGTTGTTAGCCAACAATGTTGCGTCCGTTTGCACTGGACTTTACAGTAATGTCTCTTAAGCCTGGTGCAAACGGACGCAACATTGTTGGATAGTATATTGTATATTGCGTCCGTTTGCACACCCTGTTGCATGATGTTGGGAGTTGTTGCGCACAGTTTGAAACCGGTTAAACCTTTAGCTACGTGCAAACGGACGTAACAACTCCTAACAATGTTGGGAGTTGTTGGTCAACAATGTTGCGTCCTTTTGCACCGGGCTTTATAGTATAATGGACTTTGTAACTGTATAGTACTTCTCGCTAGTGAACAGAGCTGTAAGTAAATGAATATCAGCTTTCAAAACAAATACACTGATATTAATTCAAAGGTGAAATGTCCTGTTGAAATGTTAACAATATGGCCAAGGAAGTCAGAAACAAATTTTGCGTCATAGAAAGTTCAGTAAGAAAGATCCAGATGTAAGCACAGCGCAAGAAGTTCGAATAGAAATTTACGGTATACCTCTCAAAAAACATTGCGAGATTAGTCGATGACTACTCTATCCGTAAACGCCAATACTGGTTTTAGTGAACAGTACTTTAAAATCCAACCACGGTAAGCAGGTATCACCGGTTGCAGCGGCCTTCCAGCAGGTGACCCACAGGAAAACACAGTGTGCAAATCATGGTCCGACCCTGCGCAGTAAGAACATTTATTCACTGATCTTTTGTTCGAAAGAATACAAAACATATCTATACACGTGTGGCGAGGAAACGCAAGGGTTTACAAAGTATTATGTGTTCAGTTGGCAAATGAAGAGACGGTGAGTGGCGAGTTATGATCTCTACTATGATTTTTCCTAACCCCTTCGCTTCTTGTGCCGCATGTAGCCTGTGAATTCCAGATGAACTATTTGTCCTGTTTGGAAAACAAAAATGTGGCAAAAAGGGTCGAGCACGAATCTGATCAATGTTAAAAAACCAAAAGACCTATCATTCTCTGAATTTTACTGTGAAAAATATTAAGAAAAAGAAACTTAACAGCATCATATTTTTTCTAACTTCTAAAACTAAATTACTTTGACAAATCACAACAAGTCTTGAATTCAATGTTGCAATTACCGGAGAATTAAGCAAACTAAATATAAATGTAGCCCGCGGCGACTAGCGTACGAGTGGTTGCAAGTCAAGATCTACATCTACAACTTATCCTTATTGAGTAAGTAGGGATACTAATATTCTGCTGGGAGTTGTTGCTTTTGTTTGCACGCAGCTAGAAGTTTGACCGGTTTCAAACTTTGCGCAACAACTCTCAGGAAATTCTCAGGAATTTTGATTCTATTCGTAGTTTCATGTCGTCGCGTGGCCTTCTATCCTGTGAAATGATCAACTGGTAATGCCATAGAAAAGTATGAAGAGCACATTTTGTCCATGGGGACATTCTCAGTAAGGAATCTACGAGCGGACACACAAAACGTTGCCATGAGGAACAAACGGACCTTTCCCAGGCTGATGCGGTTTTTGTTATTCTATCTCGCCACTTGTGTGGCTGTGTACCTTTTCTTTCGCTATTACTTGACGAATGACCATGATTATGGAACGCCAATGCCCGCAGCTTTTATGCACGAGAACGTTTTGAGGCCTCTGAAAAGTTTCCCCTCTGTTAAACTTACGGTGTCGCCGAATGAATTGTTTGAAAAATTATACTATCATAAAATCAGGACAAGACCAGGAACGTTCCATGAGCCAAGCTGGCACAAGACAAAGAATGATTTTGTAACAAAGCTGGGTGATTCTTCAGAGAAAGGCGATGAATTTATCCCCAACTCATTAGGTTTACAAGAGAAAAAATTTGACGGTAGCCAAGATGACATTTTGGTGGGGGAAACTTCAACAAAAGGGAAAACATATAGTTCTTTAATAGCCCCGAACCAAGCCGTGAATAATAGCATGAACTTAAGTTTACTTCATAATATTTCAAATCTTCAAAGAACTTCTATTTCGTCGTCGACCATTTGGCATCGATATCAAGACTTCCGTAGCGAGTGGTTTCGCCAACGTCGCGCACGCGTAGATTGGCGGAGTATGATTCAACCGTGTATTGATAACTTGGCTTGGGGACTGGTGAAAAATCAGTGGGGGAAGACCAACAGAAGTAGTGCCGCTGCAAGTGAGATTGTCTATCAAGAAATTAAGCCAGCAGGGGAGTTTAGTAAAATTTTAATTCAATCTAAGACAATTAATAATCAAACAAAGCTGATTGGCGGCGACACGTGGAGGGTGTATTTACGAGGTCCTTCAAGTGTTGCGGCCACTGTATTTGATCATCAAAACGGGACGTATGAAGCTCTGTTTCTCCTCACGGAGCCTGGTATCTACCAGCTGCTGATCTTTCTTGATTATAGTCTTTGTGATGGATTTAAGGATCCACCTCCGGATTGGTTCATCCAAGGCAATGCGCAAGGGAAGTATCAAAGAGATGGCCTCCTAGGTACACTTGATGACTATTTGAATGAGCCCTTTAGAAATGGGAACCCTTTAACCATTACAATACCCAAGGCGCAGTTGAACACGACGTTTATAGGTAAGTAATTAAAGGATTGAATAACGAGAGTTTTCAAGCAGAACTTTCCTAGACACTGAAAATATCATAACTAGCCCATATTGAGCAAAATCAATGAGAAATGAATCTATTTCTTGTCTCAAAAAGTACTGAGAAATGAATGATCATATCCCTCGCTGGATACTCATTTGACGGAAGTAAGGCCAAATTGAGAGCTTTTTGGCTGCGATAAGCAAGAAAATGACACCACAGAAAAATTATAAAATTTTCCATATTTCTATATTGGATTGCTTCTTGAGGAAGACCAATTTTACATATCAAAGTGAAAAAGAAGCATGTATTAAATGACAGTAGCATGACACCGATACTGATTTTCACAAAAAAAATTCGGTTTTATTAACAGAGTTGTTGAGTCAATTTGCATCGTAAAAAGATTCAAAAGAAGTCGCTTCAAAGCACTAGCCACATTTTTAAAAAACTATATCTCCGTGACGGTAGTTTTTATATCCTGCTATTTGTTTTTCGTATTATTACCATTTCCTTTTCAAACTCTATTTTACCAGAATCACTTCACGAGGATTTAGGTTCCTGTTCCAGTACCTGCAATCACCTATGGGATGGATTTGGACAATGGAAAAACAACCAATGGAAGCCTTACCTTCAAGGTCAGTACGTACGCAACATATTGTATCTTCCATATCCAGTATAGAGGCGAACAATACGGCAGGTTTCAGTGCGTCGAATTTACGATTTAGCGGACGGGCCTCGGCAGCTTCGTCAAACGGGTCTTTACTCTTCCGATCGCATCGGTTCGCCTCGACGCCGACAAGTATCTGAATAACAAGATACTGTGGTCAGTTAAGTAAGAGTGACAACCTCAACTCTTAGTTCGTGTTGTCTCGTTTCTCGCGATCAACAGCAGTATATACATCCACTTTCGTCTTACTTTTTATGTTTGCTTCTCACCCTAGACTTGTTTTCAGTGGAGGCTAGGTATTTGAAATCATGTTTCTTAGGGCATCAAAACCTTTTCCATGGATATCGGAGACATGCGATGAGGGCGTGCGTCTCCCATCGATCAGGGCTTTTAACTACACACATGCAGTTTTGTTCTGTAGATGTATGACCTTCAAGCACTAGAGGGGGGAAGGGCCTGCATAAGGTATATGCTAAGGGGGTAGGGAAAGTGAGACGTTAGCTTCCTGGCCTCTTATCTCCTTCATCATCCTCTATCAACTCACATGGGACGTGAAGAAACCACTGTGTTTCATAAATAGAGCAGGGGGTTAAACAAACCCCTTCGCTTCTTGTGCCGCATGTAGCCTGTGAATTCCAGATGAACTATTTGTCCTGTTTGGAAAACAAAAATGTGGCAAAAAGGGTCGAGCACGAATCTGATCATTGTTAAAAAACCAAAAGACCTATCATGCTCTGAATTTTACTGTGAAAAATATTAAGAAAAATAAACTTAACAGCATCATATTTTTTCTAACTTCTAAAACCAAATTACTTTGACAAATCACAACAAGTCTTGAATTCAATGTCGCAATTACCGGAGAATTAAGCAAACTAAGTATAAATGTAGCCCCCGGAGACTAGCCTCGTAAAAAGCGTACGAGTGGATGCAAGTGAGGATCTACATCTACAACTTATCCTTACTGAGTAGGTAAGGATACTAATACTCTGCTGGGAGTTGTTGCGTCCGTTTGCACGTAGCTAAACGTTTGACCGGTTTCAAACCTTGCGCAACAACTCTCAGGAAATTCTCAGGAATTTTGATTCTATTCGTAGTTTCATGTCGTCGCGTGACCTTCTATCCTGTGAAATGATCAACTGGTAATGACTTAGAAAAGCATGAAGAGCACATTTTGTCCATGGGAACATTCTCAGTAAGGAATCTACGAGCGGACACACAAAACGTTGCCATGAGGAACAAACGGGCCTTTCCCAGGCTGATGCGGTTTTTGTTATTCTATCTCGCCACCTGTGTGGCTGTGTACCTTTTCTTTCGCTATTACTTGACGAATGACCATGATTATGGAACTCCAATGCCCGCAGCTTTTATTCACGAGAACGTTTTAAGGCCACTGAAGAGCTTCCCTTCTGTTAAACTTACGGTGTCGCCAAATGAATTATTTGAAAAATTATACTACCATAAAATCAGGACAACACCAGGAACGTTCCATGAGCCAAGCTGGCACGAGACAAAGAATGATTTTGTAACAAAACTGGGTGATTCTTCAGAGAAAGGCGATGAATTTATTCCCAACTCATTAATAGGTTTACAAGAGAAAAAATTTGACGGTAGCCAAGATGACATTTTGGTGGAGGAAACTTCAACAAAAGGGAAAACATATAGTTCTTTAATAGCCCCGAACCAAGTGAATAATAGCATGAACTTAAGTTTACTTCATAGTATTTCAGATCTTCAAAGAACTTCTATTTCGTCGTCGACCATTTTGCATCGATATCAAGACTTCCGTAGCGAGTGGTTTCGCCAACGTCGCGCACGCGTAGATTGGCGGAGTATGATTCGACCGTGTATTGATAACTTGCCTTGGGGACTGGTGAAAAATCAGTGGGGGAAGACCAACAGAAGTAGTGCCGCTGCAAGCGAGATTGTCTATCAAGGAATTAAGCCAGCAGGGGAGTTTAGTAAAATTTTCATTCAATCTAAGACAGTTAATAATCAAACAAAGCTGATTGGCGGCGACACGTGGAGGGTGTATTTACGAGGTCCTTCAAGTGTCGCAGCCACTGTATTTGATCATCAAAACGGGACGTATGAAGCTCTGTTTCTCCTCACGGAGCCTGGTATCTACCAGGTGCTGATCTTTCTTGATTATAGCCTTTGTGATGGATTTAAGGATCCACCTCCGGATTGGTTCATCCAAGGCAATGCGCAAGGGAAGTATCAAAGAGATGGCCTCCTAGGTACACTTGATGACTATTTGAATGAGCCCTTTAGAAATGGAAACCGTTTAACCATTACAATACCCAAGGCGCAGTTGAACACGACGTTTATAGGTAGGTAATCAAAGGATGGAATAACGAGAGTTTTCAAGCAGAACTTTCCCAGACACTAAAAATATCATAACTAGCCCATATTGAGCAAAATCAATGAGAAATGCATCTATTTCTTGTCTCAAAAAGTACTGAGAAATAAATGTTCATATGCGTCGCTGGATATCTAAAAATCCTTACCAAAAATCAGTGTACTCATTTGACGGAAGTAAGGCCAAATTGAGAGCTTTTTGGCTGCGATAAGCCAGAAAATGACACCACATTAAAATTATAAAATTTTCCATATTTCGGATTGCTAGTTGAGGAAGACCCATTTTACATATCAAAGTGAAAAAGAAGCATATATTAAAGGACAGTAGCATGACACCGATACTGATTTTCACAAACAAAAATTCGGTTTTATCAACAGAGTTGTTGAGTCAATTTACATTGTAAAAAGATTCAAAAGAAGTCGTTTCAAAGCACTAGCCACATTTTTTAAAAACTGTATCTCAAACGGTATGTTTTATATCCTGCTGTTTGTTTTTCGTATTATTACCATTTCGTTTTCAAACTTTACTTTGCCAGAATCACTTCACGAGGATTTAGGTTCCTGTTCCAATACCTGCAATCACCTATGGGATGGATTTGGACAATGGCAAAGCAACCAATGGAAGCCTTACCTTCAAGGTCAGTCAACATATTATGTCTTCCATACCCAGTTTAGAGGCGAAAAATACGGCAGGTTTCAGTGCGTCGAATTTACGATTTAGCGGACGGGCCTCGGCAGCTTCGTCAAACGGGTCTTTACTATTCCGGTGCCATCGGTTCGCCTCGACGCCGACAAGTATCTGAATAACAAGATACTGTGGTCAGTTAAGTAAGAGTGACAACCTGAACTCTTAGTTCGTGTTGTCTCGTTTGTCGCGATCAACAGCGGTATATATATCCACTTTCGTCTTACTTTTTATGTTTGCTTCTGACCCTAGACTTGTTTTCAGTGGAGGCTAGGTATTTCAGATCATGTTGTTTCTTCGGGCATCAAACCCTTTTCCATGGATATCGGGGACATGCGATGAGGGCGTGCGTCTCCCATCGATCAGGGCTTACAACTACTCACATGCAGTCTTGTTCTGTAGATGTATGACCTTCAAACACAAGAGCGGTGAAGGGCCTGCATAAGTTATATGCTAATGGGGTAGGGAAAGTGAGCCGTTAGCTTCCTGGCCTTTTATCTCCTTCATCATCCTGTATCAACTTACATGGGACGTGAAGAAACCACTGTGTTTCTTAAATAGAGCGGGGGGTTAAACCCTGGTTGTTTGATCAATCTTTCGGGCCCTTTCCCGATTTTTTTCTGATGGGAGGGGTCTGCAGTACACGGGCTAGGTTTGTGAGGGGCAAATTTTACTCAAAAACCTTTAGTACTACGCCAGACCGATTGTTATCACCGCCCGTTTGGCATCTCTGAAATAAAACAACAACAACAAAAACAATATATGTGGGTGCCCTGTTAAACGAATTTCTTTCTCTGCATGCATTACAACAGAGTCCTACGACTGGGCGTTACCGCTACTATACAAGCAGAACGGAACATTTTGGGTCTACGGCGACTCGTTGGCCCTTCGTCTGGTGAGTTCAGTTCAGACTCGGATGTTATGCACAAAGCTCTACACGGGGTGTATATCAAGCTACAACTGGATTTATCCCATTGTAAATGAGGCAGTGGATAAGGAACTGAACGACGATCTTGACTTCAACCCTGAAAGAGTTATCGAGACAATCCTTGCCGTTCTTCGTCACCCTCTGATGCAGCAGCGAGAAAGCAGTGTTCTTCTACTGAACCTTGGAATTCATTATCCTATTGGGGTGAACTTTACAACTTACCAGAAGCTAATTGGCGACTTGATAAACAAACTAAAGGAGACAAGAGTTGATTCGCAAGGAAACGTAGTTCCTAAGTACAAGGCCAAAATTATCTGGAAGACATCGTCTGCTATACACAAAGAAAAGGCTCAAGAACTCAACATAACCCACTGGCGATTCTTCACCACTCAGGTACATGAAGCAGGCGTTATTTTTGGCGCATTTCAGGCGAGAGGGACGCCGTGGCTAGGTGTGGTGCGCCAGACACGCGTTTTCATTTTCGCCCCATTCTTCGTTGCGCCTGTCTGGTACTTCACGCCTGCCCACGCGGATCTCGCGCTTGCCCTCATTCGCCTAAAAAACGCGAAAAAATAACACCTCTTCATCAGGAGGCAAACACAACCCTAACACTCCCACTTTGCTCCACCCCAACCTCGTCCCAAGGGCTTTTCCCTTAAAAAATGGAAAAGCCCTGGGGACGAGGTTGGCTCCACCCCAGAATATGTCTTTATCTAGACTACCCATTAGTCTAGTTTGCGGAAGGAAGTAAATCCTGTTTACACTTTAAGTCACAACCAGTTGAAATTGGTTGTGAACACCGTATGCGGGCGCTGTCAGGATCCCGGTGCTGTCCCAATCATCTCAACGCGACCGACTGAGAAATTAAATTGGTACAGATGTGACCGCTCTGTTACTCGGTTTTTTTGTAAACTGTCGATAATTGATGAACAATTAATATGTATTAAACAGGAAACTGGAACGGGAAAATGCAAAAGAGACTATCGAAAGAGTACTGAAACTGGCATAGAAGAAAAAAACCTTTGAGCAGTTATTCAACACTGTTACTTTAGCTGGTACCAAGAGACATAATGAGATATTATGGCTCTTGCTGGTACACATAAAAAGGACCAGAAAAAAGGGTTCGTAACCGTGCTTTTTATTGATTTTAAAATATTTTGTTTTCATCAGCGAGTTGCAGTGTTCAGTAGCTATGCGATGTCAGCCATGTGTGAAGCCGGTTTTGACGTCATAGACATATATCCCATGACTGACTCATACCCAGGTGGCACGCTGGATGTGGTTCATTACCCAAATCACGTGTTCAGCTCCATGGTAACAATGCTGGAGAAATACAAAGTGAACAACTACAGACAATTGAGCGGAAATGAGACACTCAATAGAATAAAACGTTGCATCGGTTGATTAGTACGAAGTGGATAACTAGGACAACGACGAGACCGTGAACAGGAATATAGAGAAAACATCAGAAAAACAGGAGGACAATGGAACGATTAAATTACCGAAATATGGAAAGTTTGATCTTGATTTCGACAAGCTCAGTTACAAAAAAAGGGGAACTGTAAACAGTCTCTTCTGGGATAGCCCCTAACCCCGTGTTAGGACTTTCTTCTGAGGGCAAAATGATGGCTGAGGGAGGGGTTGGTGGGCAGTTTTTTTGTAATATCAAGGTGACGCGTAAAGGTGGCCAAAAGTGTTAGAGCCAATTAAAAAGGTGTACCAACCCACTACAACTATCACCACCATCAACAACTGTACTGTGAAACCTCAGGGAGGCTTCCATATCTTAATTCTTAATGTGACACTGTCTTAACAATACCACCCTGTCAAATAAAATAGCTACATTTTTAGTTGAGCTTGCTTTATTATTGAGATGCAAGCGTTTCTTTTTCTTTTTTTCGTGTGTGCACGTCAAAAGGGGATTCATGGTCCCAGGCGTTCCTAGCGGAGACCGTGGAAACTGGGGATAAGGCTTACACCTAGAGTTGGTTTCTGCCTTTCTTTACTCCCTTAATTTGACTCTCTATAAGACGGACATCTCCTTAAGACGGACACTTGGTGTCAGCCTTAAAGGTGTCCATCTTTGAGAAAGTTGACTGTATATCCATTAGACTAAAATGAACATTAGCCAATGATTTTATCAAATTGTTCAGAGAACCGGTTACACTGCTTCACTGACCAAAAGTCTTCCAGGTTTTCGTAAACTTTGTATGGGGTAGATGCATTGTTTGCCAGGGCACACAGGTCACAGGTCCAGTGGCCCAGGCAAGTCATATCACCCTTCTGCAAACAGTCATTCCGTTTATACTTTGTTCTCCAGCTTAAGTACTCATTGTAGGCAGTGTTATTCTTGTCCAGGTATAGCAAGTAATCAGCAAGTTCCTTGACGGATGAAAAATCCCTCACATCAATATAAGACCCTGGAATAGCTATTTTCCCGTAGTCCGCACCACCCATTACAATAGGAACAATACCATTGTCTAAGGGAGAAAGCCAATACTTCTCTGTCACGTAATCAAGGCATTCAGTGTTTTCAAAAGCAAGCTGGAATTTGTACGTCTTAAGAAGTTTGATGCAATTTTCGTCGTCATGATGGCAACTTTGACCGCTGCAACCACCGAAAATATCCACCTTTAAAAATTGTTTCAGTTTCTCAACATACGAGAAACGTTTGCCACGGCAGTTACTGACTGTCCACACAACTAACTTGTCCTTCCCAAAGGAATAGTCTTGAATGGAAGCGTTTTCACCAACAGACTCAAGTTGGGTGAAGAAACCGTACGGCACAAAAACATCAGAATCAGTTCGATAGGTCAACGTCCAGTTGAATAACCCTTTCAGCTGACTGGTTTCAATGCTATTCAACGGGCTTTCAAGAGCAAAAAAGCCCCAAGTTTGATTCGAAGGTCTGCGGTTATGCAGTTCGCGAAGAGTGGTCTCATCCGTAAGGTCGCTTTTGTAACCGTGAAATATCACAACGTCGCTGGTTTTGAAATCTTCCTTATTGTAACTCAAAATACAGTTTCGAACACGGCAGGGCTTCCCGTTAGACAAAGTGAATTTTTGTGAATCTTCCAAGCCTTTCCAAGGAATTGAACTGAAAAACGCAGTGTAAATCAACACCGTTCGAGGACGAAGATCAGATTTTTCCTTCTATGGGCATTAGCCGGCATTGGAACACCACGAAGGTAGAACAAAAAGAAACACACGCAAATTAATAAAATAGGTCAAAAAAGGTTTGGCCCAAAACAATAGTACATAAATTAAACTAAAGAAACCATAACAATAAAATGCGTTCGGTTACCTGTAGAGAGTTCTGAGAAGAGACTGAAATATTCAAAGAGAATAATCTTGTCTGATTTTTTTCAGCTGCCTTTTTAGGGTGGTAAGTAAAGTTTGTATGATTAAAAACAATAATAAAGACGAGAATTATCGTTGAAACCAGAACGAACACCACAAGAAACATTACAGACGCTTTCTTCAACATCTTAACACATGCAACAGCCACGTAACAGTGAAACTGGGTCTAAATAAATAATTTGAACAAGAAACTGTCACGCTTACATGTGGTGGGCACCTGAAAAACGATAATGGACTGCATGGATTTTGAACTGCATGTACACGGTGGAGTGGGCNCTGCCTTTTTAGGGTGGTAAGTAAAGTTTGTATGATTAAAAACAATAATAAAGACGAGAATTATCGTTGAAACCAGAACGAACACCACAAGAAACATTACAGACGCTTTCTTCAACATCTTAACACATGCAGCAGCCACGTAACAGTGAAACTGGGTCTAAATAAATTATTTGAACAAGAAACTGTCACGCTTACATGTGGTGGGCACCTGGAAAACGACAATGGACTGCATGGATTTTGAACTGCATGCCGTACACGGTGGAGTGGGCTAACAAAAAGTATATAAGAAAAACGAAAAAACAAAAGTAATTGCAACATAACAAACTTCTGTATAACGAAAATTAAAAATAATTTCGATATAACGAACTTCTGTAACGAATTCCTCGTTTGTTACATTTGTGACGAATTATTTCATTTGTTTGTGGCTCCAGCACTACCCCGTACTGTTCATCATTTTCTCTAATAAATTACAGTAAATTCAAACTGTCCAAACATAGAGTACATAAGAGGACGATTAGGGAAAGGGGCAAACAAAAATCCTCTAGTTTTAATTTTAAGGAAACGTTTTATTTTCTGTCTTAATTCAATAGGCCATTTCTGAGCTCCCTCGGGCCTCTGTTTCAAAACCAGGGTCGGTGCTCAACCTTTGATATGGAAATCATTTTTCATTCTCATGCAAAATAAAACTCATTTTCACAGGAAAGGTTGTGCACCTAGCCTCATTTTGAAAGTGAGGGTTTTTGGAACTCGGAAGTGGCCTATTTTAGAGAGTTTTTTTACACAGACTGTGTAGAGAGGGGAAGTCGTTACGTCCGTGTCGTTGTCATGATAGCAAAATTTTGGGTTGACAACCACAACCAAAAATTCACTTAAAAAGTAAATTCGCACTGTTTCAAACTTCATCAATCTTATTCAATTTCATTTCATTTGTCAAATGTTGGCGAAATTTTCTGGATTGAATTCGAAAGAACCGTATCTTAGTTTAGAAAAACAAAAAAAGGAACTTTTTGTCTCGTTTGCCTACTCGGTAAGGCGCGTGAAAATAGGAAGTTTCATGTCGTAGTCAAGCAAGGGTGGCTAAAAAAAAAAAGCGTGGTGCACGTGCAAAGTTGTTGTTTTACTAATATAAGCTTATTGTTTTTTTTTGCCGTTCTCCGTCGCTCCCTTTTGTTGTGATCCAAAAGTTTTGCTACCATGGTAACGTGACGTCACTCTTTTCCTCTCTATTGTACTTGGGACATTGGAACGTAGTCCATCCCACGTGACTGAAAAGTAAAAATTTGTCCAGATTGGACAGTGAACGATTTCCAAGGAAAAAGGTATGTTAACTGCTCTACGAGCAAGGTGTTCTTTATTACAGGGAAATTATTTTGAATTAAACCGAGCAAAGGAGTTATTTAATGAGCGTTTGCATTGTATAGATGTCCGGATATCAAAACGGGGAAATTTATCAATTTCACGATTCTCACATTAAGAACTAAATCTCCAAAATTAAACGACCAAGTAATTTTGTACACGACAAGAGGAATTAATTGCTTCACGAGGTCTCCTTAGTTTCTAATTGTATTTTGTCTTTGACTTGTGTTTTGGACTAAACGTTGAGCGTAATTGCCAGTTAATTGCAACTGAATAAGGAACACTAAGAAAGTTAATTACCACAGTAGGGCCGGGCTCACCGCTGCAAATTGCGGTGATCGGCATGCTAGAAAAGTGCGTTAAAAAGCGTTTTAATCTTTTTCTGGTAACGTATTTAAAAACTATCATAGACCCGCCGAAATCGAGCCTTTGAAATGCGTGCAATTTCACCTCATATTAGTTTCTGCAATCAGTTCTTTTAAAAATGTGTGTAAAAGATCGAGGAGAAAGCTTTATAGCCGATTGCTAGTTAAAAAGAAGGATTTGAGGCGATCTGTTTCGCAATTTAGTTAACATTTTGGTCCACTTAAACAAAAGAGCGAATAATTTTGAAACCGCAAGTTAGACGTTTTTAAAAAATTTGAGAATCTCGAGATTAACAGTCGTTTTCTATGCCTTTTGAGATTCAAGATAATTGATAACTTGTAAAGGCGGTAAAACAACGGATACAATTCGCTGATTTTTTGTCGCACATTTTGTATATTACAGTAAGAAGTGAGAGCCTCTCATTATTACAAAGGTGAAGAAAGCACACAAGAACTAGTCAACGATAAGAACTTCTACTGTTTTCAGCTGTTTTCCAACTAAAAATTTTTTCGTAAAGTTTGTTTTTCTAAAGCCTTAGCTTTTTCTTTTATGTATGCAACGTATTTTAAACTTTTTGTTAAGTTTTCAGGCAAAATAAAAGTATTGATATTTCAACAAGTATTTTTATTAGCCTTAAAACGCTACTGCACTTTTATAGCGAGTAAATCTAACTACCTATTAACTAACTTGTAAAGTGGAACTTAGAACTCATGTTAACTGTAACAACATTAAGAAACAACATCATGCATGCTGCCCGCATGCATTATCATAAGATCCCTCATAAAGGCAAAGTCAAGTGACGCCGTGTGGTTTATAACTGGTTTTCATTGTTTTATTTTTTTTTTTCTATCTACTGGTGCTAAGTTTATTGTTTGTAATCTTTGTTATCAATGAATTACTCATCGGACATCCTCAGAGACCCAAGGCCAGTCAGTTGGTTCGAGAGAAAATGCGCGACGAAAGTTTTTAAGCACGGACAGAAGTCGAGCCCCTGGGTACTGACTCTTACCCATTTCCAGAAGGTCAAGCGAATGCTGACTCCTGATTGGGCACAAAATATAATTTGTATTATCTTGCCCAATCGCTAAACAGCGTCTTCTGAGTTCTTTTCGTCTGTTCGTACACGAGGGCTATGGTCTAGCCATACTTGTCCCTTTCGTTCTCCAAAGTTGAACATGCAAGGAAAAATCATATTTTCTACTTTCCTAACCAAATACGAAGGAACTACCGATGGCTCGCGAAAACGTTTCGATGCTATTAGCAGGACCATTACAATTCGCACCGAAAAAATTCTGATTCTGACAAATCTCAAGGTATCGTAAATACTATTTACAAAGGAGTGACCGATGAAAGCTTCAATACGTATTGAAAGCTCAAGCTCGTATTTTTGGAAGGGTGTCTTTATAATACCCTTACAAAAGTGACCGCCATGCTTGCCGTCTCGCTTAGGAGTGTAAATTGCAGATTTTGGTCCTGAATGAGGGTGTTTGGGGTGGAAAGTTACCATATATTTACCCATTCAAGTATGGCTTAGGGCTGTGCATGGGAATTTACAAAAAATGCCACAACACTGACCACACAGAAATAAAAAAGGAATACGAGATCCCTATACCTAGCTCTTAAAAAAAGGTAAAAGGTACAGCAACCATATTGTACGTCGATAACTCGTATCAGTAATAATTGATAAACTTGAGGTGGATGGTGCGCTCATTATACCCCCCTCTCTCCATCAATGCTCGGTTTTAAGGGTATTTAAAGCTAGTCAAAGCTACACAGAGAAGAGAGAAGCTGAAATAAGGATGTGTTGACATCGGGGATCGAACTCGGGACCTCGCACACCAAAGGCCGTGCACTAACCAACCGTGCCACCGTTGCTCCTATAGATGTCTGATTTAGTATGATCTCCTTTAGGGGTCACTTTAAGCCTGAGCCACACCCACATTGGTCTTCCTTACGGGTTTAATAGTAACTTTGCCACGAGCACCCCCATCACTTTTACATGGAGGTCCCCATGCTCTATAGAATATAAAAATCTACAATATCTATAGGATCTAAAAATAATCTTCAGGATATACAAAATCTTCAGGATCTGCAAAATCTTCAGGATATACAAAATCTTCAGGATCTGCAAAATCTGAAGGATCTACAAAATCTTCAGGATATACAAAATCTCCAGGATCTGCAAAATCTATAGGATCTACAAAATCTTCAGGATCTGCAAAATCTGAAGGATCAACAAAATCTTCAAGATCTGCAAAATCTTCAGGATCTGCAAAATCTACTACAAAATCTTCAGGATCTGCAAATTCTTCAAGATCTGCAAAATCTTCAGGATCTGCAAAATCTACTACAAAATCTTCAGGATCTGCAAAATCTGTAGGTTCTACAAAATCCACAGGATCCATAGGATCTACTGTTTCTATATCTATTGGTGACTTAGGGGTATATTTAGGGACACTGAATTCTGCGACATGCTTACATGGCTTAGAAAGATCTAGTTTATCTAAAAGAATGCCAAGGTTGTTCACGCAATGTTTCGTACCATAGGATCTACTGTTTCTATATCTATTGGTGACTTAGGGGTATATTTAGGGACACTGAATTCTGCGACATGCTTACATGACTTAGAAAGATCTAGTTTATCTAAAAGAATGCCAAGGTTGTTCACGCAATGTTTCGTGTTGGTTGGCTTTCTTGCTCGGAAATTAAAAAGTTTATAACCTGGAACCCAGAAACTTTGAATGTCTTTGCGAACCACACTACTTCGAATCCTTTCCAAAATGCTCTTCACTCGTTTTCCTAGTTGATCTTTGGTCCAATATGAATCTTCCGGAAAATCAGTCCATTCCCTTAACAACATTGTCTTTAATACATACGAATGGAACACCCATGCTATGTGGAAAGACGCCAACTTGTCACCAGGGCTTTCAAAAAGACATAAAAAAGCCTCATTTTCCTTCCGCAACACCTTGAGAACCTTAAGCGTCACGCTATTAATGAGGTTCGGATTCTTGCAGATGTGCTTGAGTATAACTCCCTCGGGAATTGAAAACGATAAACGCCAACATGGCCGAGCCTTGCCGGATTCTCCAATAGTTGACGCCACGAGATGATAACCCTCAGCTACAGCCTCTCTGAACGCTTCATATCCAGGGTGACTCCTGCTGACTCGTTCCCTTATATCTGAAGTGTCCGGCCATCCTGACATTTTGATACACAGAGTTAAATCCACAGATACTTCATAGTTCAAGTACTCCTTGCCATGCCATGTAACCTTGATCGTTATCGGGATTTTTCTGTGCTGAATATTGACATATTCATCTAACTCATCCCTGGAAGACCGCTTTCGCTTAGCTATGGCTTCCTCGATGAGTTGTTTAAATCTTCTCAAGAGAACATCAGGTTTGAGATTTCCTCGCCTGGAAATATACCTTTGCCACCGATTACGATAATCTTTGTTGGACATCTGAACATCTACGTAGCCGGGATCGGGAACCGGTCTCATGGCAATATCCTTCGTAACACAAACACCAGGATTGGAAAGCTCCTCCAAACAAATCATAAAATCGAATTCATCGGGTCCTTCAACTTTAAGATCTTCATAAAAACTTCCGCTGGGGATTACAAAGTTCTTAAAAAGTGGATCCTCGCAGCCTATGTGGGCAGAGATTTCGTCAACTAAACTTCTAATTCTTTTCTCGATTTTCTTTACCTCCTTGTGCTCTCTATTAAACTCCGCTTTTTCGTAAAGGCGTTGTAATTCATCGTCGCCGAAGCTGCGCGTCATTTTGCATCATGTACAAAAATGGCGATCGCTTCTCCAAGTGTATATTTTTGAGCCCGCAGTCAATTTAGCAGCGGACGTTGCAAAAAGTAAGAAGTTACTTGTAGTAACAGTCATTTGGCCATGACACAAGCACCCAGCCGCCGTCGTTATGCCGGAATTACAGGGACCTTACGATCTGTCAACAGCGATGTCCATGAAAACGTCGCTGAAAAACAGAGTTCGCATCATTTTAAACTTTTTCGCTATTATCCCAATTCGTAGCCTGAATTTCATCCGATTACTTCGAGTCGTTATTACTCCCTCCCGATCAGTTAACGTCTGAATCGACCGGCTGTTAGTGCCGTCCAGTGACGTCACTAGTCCTTGACCTTTGTTTTTTAATCCATGCATAAAGTAAAACACGATTTTCAAGTGGCAAACCGGGAAATATCGTTTGGAAATGTCTGCATGATACAGAGTTGCTTTATTTTTTTCGATCGTAATTCATGTTTAACGATCAAACTATCAACTGCTTGCATTCAACTCTGAACAGGTTGTAGTTCTATAATCAAACTCG